ATTTTTTTCTGGTAAACAATGGGTACAGGTTGGAATCCTTTGCTTTTCATGATAGTAAGATGTTCATGCAATATTCACTTCATTTATCACCGTAATTGGCAAAGGCAGTTCTGAACTGTAGGCATATGCATTGCCTGCTTTCTGATATCATATTTTCCAGATGAGATCTGACTATGTTTTTTAAACAAAATCAGAATGAGAGTAGAATAAATAAGAGCTTATTGTTATGAAAGGACATATTTCATTTTTTAAATTAAATGATTTAGATGATTTTTTCATATTTTATAGAATCACTAGGGAAAGGCTTTTAATAATAATTAGTAAAGTCTCCTGTCTCATAACTGAACTCTGCCCACCAGTCTCAGAATGATGGTTTTCTCTCTGACTGTCAAAAATGCTTAGATCATTAGAGTATTGGCTTAGCTTAGTAGATTCTAGCTTATGACCTTTCTCTTGGCTTTTCAGTTCTTATTTCTAACCTGCTTGTCAGTCCTCTGTTTGGAAATATGGACTCCTTGATCAATATCCTCCTAGATATATTTTACATAAACAGAATTTTATATATACAGATCACTTGGAGATAAGAATCACTCAGACATACTCCACTGTGTCCAGACACTCTGTTGGAGCTGTCCTCCTGGACCGTCCATTAACCCTTAGGTATCAAGCATCAGCTACACCTCGAGTAGTTCTGGTCCACACCCCACTCAGTGCATTACCTCCTCTGAGCCCCCAGCATCATCCAGCCTCATCAAGAAGCTTCCTTCTGGCCAGATATTGTGTGCATCTGTGACCTCCACCCTCCCCTTCTTGTACCTTCTTGGCTCCTTATGGTGTCCTTACCAGTTCCGTGTGGTTCCCCGTCTCCCTTCAGATGTCCAGGTTCTCACCAGCCTTAGCAATGCTAGGGATTTCATTCTGTCTGGATCTTCAGCCCTTGTCATCCAGGCAGACACACCAGGTTGTTTGCTGGCTGCTGGGTAATTGAGAGACCCAGCTCCTCAATATAAGTGAAGGGACCAATGCAGGGCATCCCTAAACCCCAGGGACAGCACACCAGGAAGAGTGAGATACAAATCCACACCACATGCAGAGCTTCTAGAGAGAGAGAGCCAGTTCCATTTCCACCATGTGTGTTGAAATGCACAGAGTTCAAACTCTTAGACCTTCGTCTAAAAAATTAAGACAACCTCTCAACAAAGCTCCACGTTAAACATTCCCTTTGAATGACCTCGCAGAAACAAAAGCCCAAGGCATTAGAGATACTGACCTTGGTGTTTCTATGTAACAAGCAGAGATTACTTTGAGAGTGTTGCTTAAAGTTGGAGGAAAAATCATTCTCTTAAATATGTTGGGTTGTTTCTCCAGAGGAAAAAAGTCAGGGTCCACCTGGCAAACTGGAAAGCTATTTGGCTGCAAATATAAGGAATTAAATATTCCCCAGAGCAGGACACTTCATATATGTAGCCAAAAAATAATATGTACTAGGTGAAACACTAAGTTTAACTATTATTTCTGCAACGCGTGTTGACACAAAAATCAGTGCCTGGGAAAGGACTGGAAATAATCAGAAATTTCCCTCATAATAGAAGAGCTAAAACATGTGTTTGTTTGGTTATCAAGATGATAACTTCTTTATGAAATCGTAATAGACCTATTAATAAGCCTGCTAGCTAGGAAAATTTCCACAAGCAGCTGCTTTTTGTCACTGGTAATTTAGAAAACATGAAATGAAAGGTGTTTGCTATCAGATTAGATACTTTAAGAATTTCTTTATCACTTTTAGATCTGAATTTTAGGCAAATAATACGTATGGTAAGTCATACTGAAGTGTTGCATCCTTTTCTCCAAATCAGTTTCATTCATGTCCCCAAGTAAGAAAACCACTCTTAGAAATGGGTGGGATGCAGGTAATCCAGGTATTTAAAAGATTTTTAAGGTGTTATATTTCAAATCAACTTCCTCCATCTTTATTTCTTGGGCAGTAGATGTTGGTTGCACCAGTGGCATCTCTCAGATGAATTATTATCAGTGATGCTGTTGATTTTCATTGTGCTGTTATGTTCCCAAAAGACATCTAGCCACTTATATTGGAGTCATATAGGAAGAGATGTATACACATAAAGCATTTTGGTTATGCCATTTTGAAAACACCATTTGTCTTCAATAATAGTAACTATCTCTGTGGTTTATTGGAAGGATTAAATGAGATAATGTATATAAAGTCTTTGAGTAGTCCCTTGCACCTAATGAATGGGAGAAAGCTGTGTTTTTGCTAATTCTGCCTCTGTAGATTGCTCCCTAATGTTAAGTTACCTCTTCCAGGGACCACTAAATGGATTTGTTTTATTTGTTCATTCAACACTTATTGAGCACCTGCTAAGTTCTAAGAATTCTGCAAAGTGTTGGAAGTATAAGCCCATAGTGATAAACAAAGCTTCTGTAACCCCTGACCTCATGGAACTTAGACCAATAGATTACTAAATCTCCATTTCCAGCAACTCACTTCCTCCCCTCCGTATTAAGGGACATCTGGTCTGAGCTGTTTGTATACTGATTGATGACCCTTCAGGGTCAAACTTGCTTTCCACTGATGCTTCTTCATTTGATCAGTAAGACAGTCATGTCTGTTTCTTCACCCTGATCAAACACGTTACCACCCATGAACCCATAGCCTCTAAACTCAGCTCATCTCCTAGAAAATAATATATTCTTGACCCCCCGTGCTGTTTTTCCCATCTCTGTCCATATCATCACTCTAATCCAATTGCCCAAAGCAGGAAACCTGGAGGCCTTCCTGACCCTGCCCTCACCCATCCACCCCACAGTTGATCCATCGGGGAACTGTCATTTGTAGTTCAAAAACGGTTTTAAATTCACCAGCTTCCTTCACCCCCCAACTTTGCACCCTCATCAATGCCACCATCACCTCTTGCTTGGACAACGGCATTAGCTTCCTAAGAAGTTTTCTTGTTTTCACTAATGCTGAATTTCTACCCATTGTCTACTCGGTAGTAAAAATAGAATTTTGAAGCGAAAATTAGACTGTGTCTTACCCTAACTTAAAACCCCTCAGTGATTTTCCGTCTTGTGGAGAATAAAATATATTATTATGACCTATTAGTTCGACATGATCTGGCCCTCAGGAATGCCTCAGCGACTCCTCTTGCAGTCACTTCAGCCCCTTTTCTTCAGAATACTCATGTCAGTTAGCAAGTATGTATTTGTTTTTGTTGTCACTTGATTAATGCTGGTCTCCCTCACTGGTCTCTAAACTCCACAAGGGCAGGGATTATATCACTTTTATTTATCACTGTATTCTCAACACTTTGCATAATCCTTAAAACTCAGTAGGTGCTTAATAAATGTCTGCTGACTAAACAAATGAACGCACCTCAAACTCTTAAACCGTGCCTGTAATTTTGGTGGAAGTAACATTTTTAAATTTTAATAATAGGGATTATCTGTGCCGTAAGTCATTAGACCATTGGTTTATAGGGAAACTTTTTGGAGATTCATTATAAAAGTCTTCTAGAATTGTAGCCCAGGGTCTTCATATACATTAAAGCACTAAAGGTTGAAAGATGGATGTTTTTGTTTTGATGTAGATATTTAAATTGGACTCCTTCCTTCCTCACTGTATACTCCTTACAGAAAGACTACTCAAAATCATAATACTCACAAAATAAGAGCTCAAAAGAAAAAAAAAACCTTTCCATCTCCTAAAGTAAAAAGTTAGACCCAAATATATTAATATACATATTTTATATTTCTCCAGCAGCTACTTTGGAATTTTTATAATAGTCTATATTTACTAGAAAAAAACATTATCTGGCACATATATGAATGGGATCACTTAAAGCTTGCTTGGTAATGGTGGTTCAATTTATATTAGGCTACATATTTTACATGGTGCTATTTATCTATTAGACATGAAAGGGCACTGTGGCCATTTAAGTTAATGAAATCACAAAGTTAGCAGGAGAAACTAGAAACATTGAATAGAAAGAAATGACACTTGAAATCTATTTTTGTTGCATTTTCACATTTTGCTCTTCATTCTTAAACTCATTTCCCTCTGAAATGTAAGGACATTGTATTGGGAAATAATGTGTCTTGAAAACTGGAGCCAGCAAGCTTATGATCCAAGTGGTAATGACTTCTGTAATCGCTAATGAGGCAATGGATGTTGAATATCTCAGTGTACTCATTGGGGCCAGCCTCTTGCCTGTTCTACAAGAAGCTGTCATGTCACATTTTTGTCCCGACTCCATGAGCACTTTGATTCCTAAACCTTTCTGAGAAACCTACTCTGAAATCAAAGTCAAGTTTCTTAGATGTGGTCAGACAAGGTCACATTAAAACAGTTCAGTGAACCTGCAGATCAAAGTTGAAAGGTAATGCCTCCCTCCCAAACTTGGCACAGACCCACCTGCTAACTTACCTTTCAGTTTCTAACATGCCTTTTTCACCTCCTTTCCAATGGACTGGGAAAATGAGAGCTTATCCTCTGAAAAATGGTAGAAGAGTTTCCTTAAATCAATTCATTAGGAAATTGAACACAGCTGTATTTTGGAAATGCACCTTTATCCAAAAGAGTGGATCACGAGGTATTTTGTTAAGGAAATATCTTGATCAGAGACTGCATGAAGTGAGATGTCCAAAATAAATCCTTACTAATTCATAGTAGGACTTCTTTAAATCATAATTTCATGATAATTTCAGGTTCATGAGCTTATTTTTGGCCTATATTACCAGGATTTACCCTCACTCTTGAGTGACCCAAAATACTAGACAGGATTCCCACTGTCCACATTTTTTTCTCCACTGCCACGTTCCTTCCATGTTGAGCCTTGAGATATTATCCAAAATGGCACTGCAGAGGGGGAGGGAATGGTGACTCTTGTTAGGCATGATCTTAACATCTCACGACCTAGGTTTTTATCAAATTTCTTGTGATTAAAAAAAAAAAACAACTTTGCCATTGCTTTATATTTCAGTGTTCTGTCTCTTGTGGTCGAGGGCATAAACAACGAAATGTTTACTGCATGGCAAAAGATGGAAGCCATTTAGAAAGTGATTACTGTAAACACCTTGCTAAGCCAAATGGGCACAGAAAGTGCCGAGGAGGAAGATGCCCCAAGTGGAAGGCTGGCGCCTGGAGTCAGGTGAGCAACGCTTCTCCTCTAATGACTTCTTCCTTACCGCTGGCCATGTGGCTGACGGCAGCGTGTCGGCTCCTTCCCCTGCTCAGTTTTGGTTCTTTAGAGGGGAGTGTGGAGACAGGGAAGGAAACAGCCTTCTGTCAGAATGCTCGCTAGCTCTGAGAACTTGGGCAAGTGGCTTCATCCCTTGGTGCTTTGGATAATATATATGCTAGGACAGTTGTGGGGATTAATTCTAAGTGGTGATAGATATCAACTGTGTAGGACAGAGTAGTCCCTCAATGCTTTGCTGATGGCCTTTTTAATGTTATTCCCCATTTAGAAAACCACTAATTCAGATTCCAGTAAGGTTGACTATGGTTACCTGGCAGGAATTGAGTTCAAATTTACCTTTGAGGTTCTTAAAGAAAGAGCTGTCAATATGAAGTATTAAAGAATACTTCTCTGCCTGTTAGATTGTATACAGTAGAGGATGGGGAAGTTTTCTGTCATTTCCTAGCTCTGTGACCTTGGGCAATTTGTGTGACCTTGCTGACCTGACTTCATATAGCTCTTATGAGGATTTATTGCAGTAATGAATGCCACATACTTAGTTCAGTAGTCTTAACTCTAATAATCTCTCAAGAGTAATATTTTGTTTGAATGAGTGCAGTATGTGTATATCCAGTGGGAAAGTGGGGGAAGTACCCAAGAAACTGATTACAGTTAGAGTCCATTAATTCTACACATTTGCTAAATTCAGTAGGTTTCCATATTGAATTCAAGAGGGAACTTGAGATACTTCTATTTACACATTAACAATTGGTGGGTGAACAGATCACTCATATCTGGCCCTTAAAGTATATCTTGTTACTCCTCACTTATACATTTCCTCAACTTAGTTGAAGGTCCTTACTTAAAAGTAGTAAGGCCCAAATGTCTTTTCACATATTCTGTATGTAGTATGCTCTTTTTCTCCATTAATTTGATGCAGTGAGCTTTTGCTGAGTTTGTGGTTCTCCTGTGCAGTAGAGATATATGTACATACTCTGGAGAATCAATAGGAAACCAGGTTCAAGGTTGGCAGCCTGTAGAATTGATTCTTTCAGAGCCTGTATCTTGATTCCTAACACCCCAAAGAAGCTTTGTCCAGCTGTGTTAACATGAGAAGGAGTTGAGAATCCTCCATTTCAACATGAATGATAGGAAATTCCTCTAGAAACATGAATTTTTCTTAAATGCTCTGGGCTGCTGTCCCCCACACCTCACAGTCATATTCCCCTTCACACAGAAATAAAATGTGGCCTGCATCGTATCCCAGCAGAATAGCCTCAGAGTGCTTTTATCATATCATGTTTTTATTTTTATTTTAACAGTCAAAGCGTCTGTGCCCAGCCAAAGCTAGTTCCTCTTCTGGCTTCTTTAAGGGATCAGATTTCTAGGCAGTATTTTGTACTGCTCATCAGTAATGGTTTGTCTAACTGACTACTGTCGTCTCTGACTTCCAGCCCTTGTATTTTCGAGCTGTTCAATTCATGTAAAAACCTGTAGCTAACATTATTTAAGATACCACATTAATTAGCTTGTCCTCTTGCACACATTCATGCTGTTATTTTTCTTCATGTCCCTTGGCGTCTACTTATCTATTTGCATCCTGTCGAGATGCACTTAATTGATAGTCATTAGAAAAGTCAATTCATTTAAAAGAAGGATGATTAAAAGAATCTTTCACTTTTTATTGGTAAGCACAGAGTGAGTTTTACTCTTGTATCCTGTGAACTTGATGGAAAGTCTAAAATTGCTCACAAAGCTGGGATGATTAGGTTTGAACCCTTGGGGTTTTTTCAAACATAAGGTAATAGGATTATCGGAATGCTTCCCCAAAAAAGACTGCACCTGTTCAAAATGATTGCTTAGAAAAGTCTAGTTACCTTTGTGGAAAATGCAAGTAAACACAGTCATGTAATGGTTTGTGGCCAACTTTATAATGCTCTGATTTGATTTATAGAAATGAATTATAAAAGCAGGCAAGATAAGATGCTACATGGGTAAAATCCAATTTGTGCAATTTTGAAGCATACCTGAAGATAATCAGACCCAGAGGTTGATGGAGAAAGATAGTCTGCATGACTAAAGATTATTGGTTTACTAATGATCCCATGGTAAACAGAAATATCCCTAAGGCAGTAATATAAAGCAAGAGTAATGATTATCCATTTGCATCAATATTTAGAAGATTTTATATCTGATTCTTCTGTTTTCTGCTGGTGGCTGTATTTTAGTCATCTCATCTTCAAGGTAGGGGAAGTAATTATTGTAATTTCTCATTATGTCAAAATGTCTAACAATAATAAGGCATATAGAATATTGGGATAGGAAATTAGTATAGCCATGCTAATCTTCTTTGTCTCTTCCTCAGAATTAGTGTTTTGAGGTTTAAAGTGAAATGTTTTACTTTTACATCTTTTGAACATCTTGAATGTGTCAATGAAATTTTTCCAATAAAAGAAGAACTTTAATTCAAAAACATAACTCAAGTTTGAAAGCATTTTTTTAAAAAAATTCATGTTCAGTTTGTTTAGATGATTTTGATCAAGAGCTGAGGGATGAAATTTTCAGACAAAATCAGCATCTGATTCTTGATTCAACTTTATAAATGTGAAGGCTCTATAGTTCCATGAGTAGACACAAGTAGCCTTCCAGATTAAAAATTGTTAATGTATCCTATTCCTACAGAAAACCTTTCTAAACAAAAGAAGATTAAGAATAAACAATAAAAATGATCAGATTAGAATGAAAGTAACACTTTACCATCATTCATCTGTCATGAATTCATTCAACCCTGAGATATCAGTTTCTTTTCCATACTTGAATATTTCTGTGGTCAGGATGGTCCTTACATCTAATAGAAGGTCATGATTAATTGCTCCTTTTTCTTTCTCAGTGATACAAAATGTAGTACTGTGTCTTGAAGTCAGGGAAACACTTGCTTTTTTTTTAAAGTTCTTCAGTGCTCATGCCAAAATGGAAACCGGCAAATTGCATTATGTACCTACCAGCCATTTTTGGTGGGGATTTTTTTGTAATTACCATGAGAGTGGCTTGGTCATGGTGTCTGATTCTGAGGTGTTTAATGGAGAAACATGGCAGAGGTACAATGTGTGTCCTTTGAGAAATCTTAGAAACCCTATGCACATGGTCAGTGATGAGAACTAGAGTTGCCTTAGTGATTTGTGCTCTCTGTGACTTGTATTTGAACTGCAAACATTGATGTTGAATTGTTTGAATACAGTCCTTTCACCCACACTCTTGCTGATGTAGTACGGAAAGCCGCATAATACTCATATTTTAAAACTGGAAGCCAAATCCTAGTCCACAGTAGCTTTGGTTTATTGCCTAGGATAGAACTTATTTGAATTACATTTTGTTTTAGTTTTTGCTTGAGTTAGGATGATTATTCTTTGCTTTTTTTATGTGTGGAGTATCTATGTAAAAGATTACTGGGAAGTATGAAAGATATTTTATGCAAGATGCTTAGTATAGAACTAAAGTCTCCACTGGCAGTGATTTTGTAACTCTTGGGATGTTTGGAGGTGTGTGGAGACAGTTTTGGTTGTCTCAGTTTGGCAGAGGAGAGGGAATGCAACTGACATGTGGTGGGATAGAGTCCAGGGATGCCCTGAACTTCCTCCAGTGCACAGGACAGCCCCCAACAAAAACGATTTCTTTGGTTGAGAAACCCTAGAATAGAGCCTGGCCTAGTAAGTGCTCACTAAGTTTGCTATTATTGTTACCGGTTGTTATTTATTAAAGTTCATACTTTAGTTAGTTATTGAAGTTCGTTATTTTTCAAGCTAATCCCTCCTTTGAATCCTGTCATGGCCATGGTTGTAGCAGTCATACCGATAGAAAGTATGTAAAATTCTTTCCAGGCTTTCAAGTGTGTATTACAGTTCTGTAAGCCTCACAAGTTCCATAGAGATTCTTTTTATCTATAGAAAGAAGCATTAACTCTTCCCTTTAAATCGGTGAGTTCTGCATACTAACATTGCACAGTAGGGAGTCCAGAGAGATGAAACACAGCTCCTAGCTTAGTAGTTTGGAACTAAAAACATCTGCTTTCAAACCTGTGCAGATAGACTGCCGTGCAGGAATGATAGTTGCAGGGGGACGGCACATGTTAATACGCTGCTCAACCTTTTTCTTCTGCAGAGTAACTAAAAATTGGACTACATAGAACAAGAAGTAAGCATGCACATGTGCACACACCACCTCCATCAGCACTTCCAGGGTCACACAGAGGTCTTCTGATGCTGTTTTATTCATGGGGTTTCTGCACAAATCTCTCAGAATTTACCAAGCAAGTCTGCCTGGCTCTGTATGCTAAATGTTGCCTCCCCTGAGACAGCACAGGAAGAAAAGTTCAACACAGAGAACTAACTCGGATGCAGTACACTTCATTTTGAACCAAGATTACCATGGATTCAGTATTGACAGAGGCAAGGCTTATTATACCTTGCTGTGCATATAAGCCCTGTGAAAACCTTTGAATATGTTAAGTCAGGGCTAGCTTTGATAATATGAAAATCAAAAGCCACAATGACATTATTGTTTAATTGAAACTTCCTCTGTCTTTATTTGCCCCTTGGAAAAAAATACTGAACATTGTAGAAATTATTTCTTAAATATTGGATGTTTATGGCTGATAATACCTTACCTTTGCTGAGCCATAAGTAATAATTTAGTAACAAACAGTGGCATCAAAAATAAATTCCATTTACTTAGAACCTGAATAGTATACATCTGGAAAACTTTAATGTATTTTCCTTTTTCTTTACTTTATTAAAGCATGATGAGATTTTGAATATATATATCAGCTCTATGCAAACTCAGACTTGTTTACTTAATTGTTCTTATTTTTTTCCTTGTGTTTCTACTTGGATACGTTGTTCTGGAATTGTTCTGTTTTATGTTTAAGGCCCCAAATTCAAATACTCAGAGTGTTTTGGTTGTTGTTTGCTGTCCGTGGTTGACAATTTCTGTCATTCCTGTGCTAATTCTCCCATGTCATAGTTCATTCATTTAATGTGGAATCAATGGGAAATATACACATAGCTCCCCAAAGTATTAAATGGCCATCTTCTGTAGACGAGGCAGTCACTTGTGCTCAGGCACCCTCTCATTCCACCCAGAGCACAATGACTTTAAATGTCTGGTTTCTTGTGGGTCAAAAACTCATTCAATCCAATTAATACAATTAAACCCAAACAATAGTAGCCATGTTGCTCTAAAATATTTCCTTCTCTTCAGCTAGCTTTGATGTGAACATTTAAGCTCCTTGCCTGGCAGACTTATCTGAAATGATATGATTTCCCAAGCTGCCTTCTAAATATTATCACCTGTTTTTTTAGAATCTGAAATGGAAATAATACTAATATGCACCAGAATTCATTAGGGTGTGCTTCTTGATAGTAAATTCCCATTAGCCTCAAAGTAAGATGAATCCCGCTGCAGGATGGTTGGACAGGAATTTTTGTCTAATTTAAAAGCTTGATTCTATTCTGTATGAAGACTTCCTCTTAGGAATATGGCTTTAATGTATGTTAAGCTTGTTTTCTCAATCAGACAAATGAATGGAGGCTCAGCTATCACACAAACTTGGAAACAATTTTTAATAGCTAAGTGAAAAAATAGGCATTTCTTTTCAGTCAAATGTTGCCTTTAGGTTCTCACTGTCAAAAGCTTAATAAAGATAATAATTCTTGGCCTGCCCATGAGTGAGATTATGAAACCCAGAAACGAGGAAACCACTAAAAAATTAATTTAGAGAAAAGTTAATTGCAGATTAATAGGGTGTTTTGCAGCTTGGTCAACAAAATGTTTCAGCCTGATTAACAGTATTTTTCACGGGCTGGAAACACAACACCCAAGGAAATAGTTTTTCTCTGTCAGCTTTTATTTTTTGTACATTCATCCAAATTCCCCTATCTCCAGGAATAGGAGCAAGAAGAAGAAGAGACTGGAGAAAATAATTCTACTTATAAGGTCATAAAATCTTCAGTGATTTTCTCTCCTTGAGTTATAATTTTTATCTGCCAAGAAATTCTCTTGTGTGAAACTGTCTCTCCAATTTTCAAGGCCCTCCAACCTTCTGGGATAGAAATCACTTGGGACTTTCATTTCCCATGGCAGCAGTACTCTAGGATGTACTGAATGTCTCTTAATGATGTCTCCCAGCCTCTTCCATTGTCCAAGAGTTTTGTTAACTTGAGAAATTACCCCCAAACTTGAGTCTCTTCCTCACTCAGCTGGCTTTGATAGGCAGTGAGGCTGTGGATTTTAGACATTTCCTGGGTCCCTTTCACTGGAAATTAGAAAACCCCGTGATGGCTGTGAAGCTCATTGGATTAGGAATGCCATCCCCAGGTCCATGACCCTCTCTACCCTGATGATCGCCCCCTCCCACCAACGACCCAAAGCTCCCACTTACATCCTCTTGTCCTTGTAGTGCTCCGTGTCCTGTGGCCAAGGCGTGCGGCGGAGAAATGTGGGCTGTCAGATGGGAACGCACAAAATAGCCAGAGAGACCGAATGCAACCCCTACACTCGACCGGAGTCGGAGCGCGCCTGCCAAGCCCCGCCGTGTCCGCTCTACGCATGGAGGGCAGAGGAATGGCGAGAAGTAAGTAGAGCCAGGAAGCGGGCACCTGCCAGCCGCTCGCTCAGCCCCCTTGCTATCATCACATCCGTTCCCCTGTGAAGCCCTCCAGCGCCATGACCAGGCTGGCGTTTCCCGCAAGGTCACTGTCAGAGGGCCAGGAGTTCCTTCCAGCCAGGGTGGGAGAACTCCTCCTTTTTCTGCCGTTCCGACGCTCGTGTTCTTGATGTTGCAAATCTGGCTGCCTCCAGAAAAAGTTGAACAGGCCGTGGGCCAAATGCATGAAGATAACTTTCCCAGAAGGAGGGGGAGATGGAAGAAATATTTTTGAATGTGTGTATTCCGACATGGTCGTTTGCATGAGTTCAAACCGCCACTGGACAGACCCTAAGTAGGATCTCCTCTGGAATTTTTTTTTCTTCCGCGGCTTCGGCCATCAGTTGGAAGGCAGGCATTTCATTTGAAACCCGGATTAATTAGTGAAGGATTTTCAACATTTAAAAAACCGAGTGCCTCTGAAGAACTGCTCCGTTGATGCAGAAATAGACCAATTTGTTTTTCTCCAAGTTAATGTCTAGTTAAAGAAAACACTAAGTGTCCCTGAGGAATGGCCTGGCTCTCGCCAGGATAGGACTTTTATAGGGAGGATCCTCTGTTTCCAGTGGAGAAGATTCAGTTGTAGAAAAAGGGAGGAAAAAATATTTTAAAAAGCAATACTTTATCTACTGACATTGGAATGAAACAGAAAGTACAAGGTGTAAAATGTTCAGAGACAGGAAGATTGAGACAGGAATTTCCCACCAGGAACAGTTTTTCAGGACAGGAGAGACAGTGCCTGGCACTCTGGTGAGTGCTTTATATTCATCACATGTTTATTTTTGTTATGGTGTAAGATTGAGGTCCAGTTTTATTCTTTTGCATGCAGTGCTTTGGATATTATGAACCTTTTAACCATATTAATTGCTCTAGCCTATAAGCACAGAATCTTTCCATGTATTTCTGCCTTCTTCAGTGTCTTTTATCAATGTCTTGTAGTTTTCAATGTACAGCTCTTTCACCTCCTTGGTTAAATTTATTCCTAGGTGTTTTATTCTTTTTTATTCCATTTTAAATGGGATTTGTTTTCCTATAACTGCATTCTTCATCCTTATGGGGATTCAGCCTTCCAGCTCTGTTCTTCCCTCTCTCACCTTCCTGATTGATTACTTCCATTGTTTTCAGCCATCTCTTTTCTTTAGGAGTCTCACCCTCTCTCTCTACTTAAAAAAAAAAAAAAAATTTCTCATTTTCCTTTTCAAAGGAAACTCTAGGGTTTTTTGACTTATTTTCTTTCTTTTTTTTAACTTCTACCAGACAGTGGAAGAGAGGAATGGCTAGAGCAGTTATATTTCAAATTAATTGTACTTGAGCCACACAAGTTGCTGGGAACCCCAGAGGCTGCAGAATTCGTCAGACTTGGTTCATATCCTGGCCCTGCCACACTTCAGATGCTTGACTTAGGACAAGGATGCCTAATTTTCTGAGCTGTGAGTTTGCCATCTGTAAAATGGTAATAATGGTAACTATGCAAAGTCCCTCTGAGAAAATTATAAATAATCGAGTGGCTTGGGGATTGACAGGGGGAGATACAGAAGGGAGAAAAGATTTCTTCGTCTCTGCCTGTGAGTCACCACTCAATTCTCCTAATTCTTGCTTCAGACCTACCACCGCCTGCTCTCTCCCTCTCTGTCTTCATGTCCTGCCAAACTCAACCCTGTGTGACTGCTCCAAGGAGCAGAGTAAGAGTGTTCAGAAATGAATCTAAGCTGACAGCTGACGCTTTAGCCAACTTTTGAAAACACTGGAGTCAGTTGGGGAAATGCATGCTCCATTGACACTTCTTTCTGACTCCCACAGACTAGAAATCTTGCCAGATACGCACTGAGGAGATCCTCTTCTCTGATCATCCAAAACGTGCCTAGAAATTTATATCTTTGCATGTGCCATGCAGATCGATCTTTCTAAATCCTTCCTCAAATATTGCTTTCAAGTGCCATGTAAGAACAGAAGACCTGCGAAGAAAGCCTGGCCTGTGGCTAAATTTAGAAGTTGGTCAGATGGAAGCAATGAGAAAAGCAGACTCTGATAGTTACCCTTCTGCCAACATACTTTCCCATCATCCTGAACCCAAAGTAAAGAGCTGGAAACTAGTGGACCTGGTTGGTGAGGCGGGTTGGAGGTCCTAACATGACACTAAGTTGGCCAGAGTGAGACTCAGGGCTGCTAGATGGTGGAGGTAGAAGCTCTATCAAAAGTCATAGTTCCTCATTAGCATGGCATGCTGGTGGTCCTTTCCAAACATCCCCTTGGTCACAGGGCTTCAAGGGAATGCTGTGAGCAATTGGGCAACCACCTTCATAAACCATGCCAGGAATCCTGTTTACCTGGGGCAGCCCTGGTGTTAATTGTTAATTGCCCCTACTTCCATGGTCTAAAGTGTCCTTGTTAAACAGTCAACTGGGTGGTCACTTGATAGTCCACCCCCTTCATGCACCCCTCGATCAACCTGTATCTTCATTCCGGTTCTCTCCTCCTCTGCACCCACTCACTCCACTTCCATTTTACCTCATGTGCTTTGTGCAAACACGCCTTAACTTCCCGCTCCTCATCAACTGACACCTTGACCTGATGTCAGTGAGATGTCAGGGCACAGCCTTAGATCCCAGTGAATCAGATGCTGGACACTTGCCACCCCCATCCCATCCTATTATGGGAAGTTCTCTTCTTCTTAGCTGTTCTTGACAGCTAACTCAGAGCTGTTGTTTACTTTCTACATGTGCATTTTTTCATTTTGCTCTCCTCTTCGACACTATTAAAAACCCACTGTTTGTTGGCAAGATGTGTTTCATGCCAGGCATATAGCAAATGGCACCTTCCTCTTCATGAGAAAATAATCCAGGTGTCCACCTTGAGAAGCACGAGTTCCACCTGTGCACAATAGCATGATATCAGGAATGTTGCATACAGTCACACAGGCTGTACACTGTACGAGCCCAAAGGTGCCATTCCCGTAGGCTACAATGTGAGGGGCAGCCTCTATGATTACCTGCTACAGCGGCCCTAATACAGATAGTAATAGAAGTAATACATCTCATTGTTCGTTAAGGTATGGACCAAGCACTCTATTGAGTATTTTTATATGGGGGACCTCATTTAACCTTTTCCATAACTCTCTGGTGTTGTAATTAAATTTTTATCCTCACTTAAAGATGAGGAAGCTTGAGGCTTAGCTAAGTTAATTCATCCAAGTTCATGTAGTTACTAAATAATAAGACTGGGATTTGAAGCCCAGAAGCCTGACCTCAGGAATACATGCTCTGAATGGTTATATTCTACCTCCTCCCGTGTTGACATGTGTCCAAGGTGAAGTCTTTTATTTTATTTTTGGCTTGACCAGCCTCTTTCTTCATAGTTGGCATCAAAGTACTAGTAGAATTCTCTAGAGGATGACTACCCCACTCTCTTCTTAAAATGAAATTCTTGGTCTAGTTGGTTGACAATCACACCTTCTGGTGTGTGGTTGAGGGGAAGTCTTGATGAAGATGGGGCATGTCAGTGGTCCCCTTTGTGTGTTGAGAGGCCTGTTGACTATACTGGGGAAGGGGAGTTAATGTTTATTCATGGTACCACAGGGGTAGAGCCTGGACTTTCAGATATAGCACAAAATAATTGAAGAAGAGAAAAGTGCTCCTTTCAGAAAACCATGTTGTAAACAAGACCACCTGGGACTCTGGGAAATTGACATCAAATCTGTGAGCTCCATTTAGTTCATCTGCAAAATGGGTATTATATATCAGACTGCTGAATCAGGGTCATAGTTTAAATGAGGTTAAGTGAGGGATTCAGTGCAGTGCCTAGCATATTTTAGGCCTTCCACAAATGTTACTTCTCTTTGGTACAGTGAACTCTTGATGGAGAGTTCAGATGATGACCAGCGCTTCAGCAAAGACTGTGTATCACAATGTTGGGCTTTTAAGATCACCTGCCAACTTTGGGCTAGTTATTTAGCTCTTCACTGCTCAGTTTTACTCACTTTTGAATTATTATGCTCTTGAGGCTAAGTTAAAAAAATTGACTTTTTAATTCTTTTGAAAATTACTATCCTAAGAAACTTAGAGTATTATTATCTATAAATTTATAGATTATCAAAAGCCCTATAAGTAGGCTAATGAATTTACTTATAGCTTACTTATAGGGCTTTTGATCAAATATGAATTGTGAGTATGTGGGTTATACATCTCTTAGCTTTAAGGAGTAAATCTCCCAGGACTTAACAAGTGTTCTTTTTTTTACCTTTTCTTATCTTTACCCAGAATACTCTCCTTCCTCCCTAGTACCTCTGTATCACAGTAAGACTGCCCTCCTCCTTTCCTTGTTGGGGTCCTTTTTCAGTGACCTTTGCACATCCTTCAGGTCTCAGATAAGATGTCGTATCTTTTCAGAAGCACTTGCTGGTCATACCTCCCCTCGAATGACTGAGTCAGGCAGCCCTCCTGTCCACTCTCATTGCACCCTGAAAATACTCTGCTTCAACATTTAGTGCTCTGAATCGTTTTTGCCTGTCTTTGCTGTTGATATTATCAGCTGTTTGAAGTCATAAAGCTTGTTCACCAGTTTTCCCCAGCTTTTAGCACAGTGGCTGCGGCATTGAAAACACTTGATGAATGAGTGACTCCATGAGTGAATGTAGTGAGAGAATAATAGGTAGAGGAAAGAAAGGAAGGAAGGGAAGGAAGAAAAGAAGGAAGGAAGGGAAGGGAAGAGGAAGGGAGGGAGAGAGAGAGAGAAAGGAAGGAAGGAAGGAAGAAGAAAAGACTTTATAAAACAAGACCTGGTAATTGGCTTCAACTCTAAGATCACAGCCTTGTAAAATGGCTTTTAGAACAGTCAGACAAGCTGGGTTTTTCCTGAAAGGACAGATGTTTCACTCTCCTGTCACACTGCCATGGGCAAGCCGCGCTCAGACCCGCCTGGCCTTTGCAGAG